AATTCTCTGTTCTTGACGCCATCTTTAAAGGCGCAGACTGCCTGATGATCAGACACATTCTCCACAGTATGGTGCAAAGTGATCCATCTCTGAATATACTCTCTGAGAGTCTCATTGGTCTTCTGCACGCAGACTTGCAACTCCGTCAGTCCAGCCGGTCGCTTGCAAGTTCCTTCAAACGTTCTGATGAACACTCGGGACAGATCTTCCCAAGTGTAAATGCTGCTAGGAGGTAATTGAGTCAACCATGCCCTGGCAGAACCTTCCAGCATGAGGGGCAAATGCTTCATGGCCACCTCGTCGTTCCCACCACCAATCTGAACCGCCACTCGGTAGTCCTCAAGCCAAGTTTCAGGCTTAGACTCACCAGTGAACTTGCTGACTCCTGTTGCCAACCTGAAATTGGGAGGGATAACTGCGGCTCTGATAGCTTTGCTGAAACATTCAGGACCAGAAACATGAGCTCGACTGCTCGTGGGCGCATCTCTGTCGAGTCTGCCTTGATGGGCTCTGTTCCGGTCTACCAAACCTTGCACGATAATGGATCGCGCGTCGAAGCCTGGTTCTCTTGGGTCGACTAGAACTCTTCGCCCCGTACTGAACTGACGCCTGTCATCTTGCTGCTGAGGAGCGTAAGACCCACCCCTCGGAGGGGAATTGGGCACTCGACGCCTATCATCTCGGTCGAGTCGGTCACCATATTGGTCTCGCCGATTCTCGCGCCCTTCACGCCGCGGAGGCGATCTGGGACTATGAGCCGACTGAACCGGATTCGCAGCGACGGATCGACTGTGAATTCTGTTGCACGACTGCGACACGGCCGAATTCTGGTCTCCTGTTGCCCGGAGCAGATCCCTGATCTGCATCAAGCCTCTGCCAGCTTCCGACTGAGAGGGTTGGATGGACTCTGCTATACGGGTCGCAGCTGCTAAATTTTGGATTGGGGTTCGATATACCTGAGTCGGCGGGAAGAATTGACGTCGACTGGTGTCGGGAATTCGTTGCCGCGCGCGCTCGTCGAGTGCCCGCTGAAGATTCTCCAGTCGAGTGCGTTCGGCCAAATTGGCCAAACGTACCTCCTCCAAGGCGCGAGCCTCGGGGGTTTCTCCTGCGATGGGAGTACGCAGAACATCCACGTTCCTGCGGCGAAGTTCCTCTCTTTGCAGAGAGTCGAGTGGCTCGGGCTGGTACTCTTCGTGGTCTCGTGCGGGGTCGCCTCCGTCGCCTGCTCCACCATCACGGGCGAAGCCAGGGGGACTGCGGGGCCCGTCGACCATCAGAATTTCTGCCGCGGGATCACTGCTATCGCACTCGGATGCGGTCTCTACGGAACCAGTCGACAGATCGAACAGGCCGTAGAGAGATTCGTCGGGCTCGATTGCCGCAACTTGGGTGGTGGCCGTATGGCGAGCCACCGCGTGCCTCACCCACCGCTGAATCCTCGACCGGCCCGAGCGCTTGCGCTGACGGGAGACCGGGAGGGTGGTCGATGGGGATGTCGACCGATACGGGGTCGACGGTTGCCGCAGCAGAACGCCGCGGACACATGCGCGAAAATGTGTCGCACCGCGGACGGGGAGCGCATCAACGTCGAGTGGAGCCTCCTGGAGCCAGGCGGAGTCGTCGGCGATGAAGGTGAGAGCGCCGAGACGGATCTCTCGACCCTCGACCAAAAATCCAGCAGCCACCATGATGAAAGTACTCGGAAGAATCGCAACTTCTCCACAAAATTGCTAAAACACCTGCCCCACGGTGGGCGCCAACTGTCGTGGTTCTAAGCCTGACAGTAGAGTGGGGGGTAGGTATGGAGAGGCAAGGTCCTAGCTATGGAGAGGTTGTAAACACAAGGGATGTACGAGTTCAGGCCCTTCTCGGAAGAAGTAAAAGCCCTACGTCTCGGAGCCCAGAGGCGGTCGAGTGGATTATATGTATATGAGTTACAGGGTGCCGAACCCTTCTGCCTGTGGAGGGGGGTGGCTTATATAGAGTGCGCTAGGACCCCAGCCAGCCCACGTAGGAGAGGGTTTAAGGTGAGTTAAGTCCGGGGCGTTACTGGTAACGCCCCACATAAAGTGTCTTTACTATCATAAAGTCTACTTAATTACAGGCCGTTGCAGCGCAGAGTGCCTCTTGACCTTCTGGTGGTCGAGTGAGTCTTCGCGGTCGAGTCCTTCAAGGCAGTCGAGTGTGTCTCTCGTTGGTCGACTGGAAGGTGACCTCTTCTAAGGGTGTCCTTGGGCAGGGTACTTAGATCAGGTCTGTGGCCCTACCCTAGGTACATGACCCCATCAGTACTCTCTCTCGATTTTTCTCCACTACAACCCGTCAGCGGGTGCTCTCAACTTCCCGTCTTTCTTACAGTCCTCACTGTGCCATCGCATCAACTTGGTATGCTCTTTGTTTCTGAACAGTCGTTTCAATCATGGTATTATAGGAGCATACCACATCACCTTCGCAGGAACTCTCTTCCTGCGGGGCTCGCTGTCAACATCACCAGGGTCATCTCGTCTGGTCTTATACCGCAATGCACCGCATACCGGGCATGTGTTCAAATCCTCGTACGCACCATGGTAGAGGATGCAGTCATTAGGGCATGCATGTATCTTCTGCACCTCCAATCCTAGAGGGCATACGACCTTCTTTGCTGCGTATGTACTGTCGGGCAATTCATTATCCTTTGGAAGTTTCTTCTTCAATATTTTCAGTAGCTTCTCAAATCCTTTGTGAGGCACAGCATTCTCTGCCTTCCACTGCAGCAATTCCAGTACGGTACCCAGCTTTGTGTTGCCATCTTCGCAATTGGTGTACAACCCTTTTTTGTGATCCTCTAACATGCAATCGAACTTCAGCTTCTCCTTTTGACTTTCGCATTGCGTCCTTGCATCGACAATGACCCAGCGGAGATCATCATCATCGGGCACATTGTCTAGTTCCTCTTGATCTTCAGCAGCTTTCCCCGTTGCAGCATCATCGGGCACATCATCTGGTTCCTCTAGATCTTCAGCAGCTCCCCCCGTTGCAGCATCACCGTATTCATGGGGCACATAGTTGTCATCGTCCTCTTCTTCTTCGCCGTCTTCCATCATAACCCCTATTTCTTCGTGCCTCGTCCAAACATTATAGTGTGGCATGAAACCCTTATAAAACAGGTGGGTGTGATAGATTTTCCGGTTAGAGTAAGACTTCGTATTCCCACATTTAGTGCATGGACAACACATAAAACCATTCTGCTTGTTTGCCTCAGCCACTTCGAGAAAATTATGCACGCCCTTAATATACTCGGAGGTGTGTCTGTCACCATACTTCCATTGTCGGTTCATCTGCGTGCATTATATATAATTATGTGTGTCAAAAGTAAGAAAATCAGACAAATATCTATCTAAAGTAAGAAAATCAGACAAGTATCAGAAAGAAGATAAGAACAAGAGGCTCACCATGGTGGTGCCGGTGATGAGATCGGTGTGGGCGATCAACGGCGGTGAAAACATGGACGGGGCATGACGAACCGCTAAACCTAGACAAATCTCGGGAAAAATGGAGCTCCGAGGTCGAGCTTCGAGAGGAGAAAGCTTAACTAGTGTGGCTCGAGCATTTCATCGAATACCTCATGTGCATAGGAGGTGAACTAGAGCACCCAAATGCCCTCCCCTCGCAGGCTTGAAAAAACAGAGCACTGTGGAGTGCTCTGTCGCGGCGATGGGTATATATAGGCAATTTATTTGTCCCGGTTCGTGGCACGAACCGGGACTAAATCCCACCCTCCTACACCGGTTCAAGGCATGAACCCGTACCAATGGCTGTGGGCCAGGAGCAAGGTCCATTGGTCCCGGTTCGTGCCTAGAACCGGGACAAATGGGTCCAGACGAACCGGGACCAATGCCCACGAGGCCCCGGCCGCCCCCCTGGGCTCATGAACCGGGTCTAATACCCCCCATGGGTCCCGGTTCATGAAGAACTGGGACTAATGGGCTGGCCAGGCCCGAACGATAGCCCTGTTTTCTACTAGTGTGTTATGGTCGGCTGGAGCGGCATCTTACCATGGTGGCACATTTGTTTGTCCTATGCTACTCCCAATCTCTTGTCTCCTTGTTCTTCGGTAGCTTGGCACCAATGCTTGCGAGTTGCACTTGGTGGTCGCCATCTGCATCTTCTAGACGTCGTTCGTGGTGGACGGCTATGGCAAGGAGTGGACCCGACAATGGCTCCAAGATCGAGCATGCCCTAGGGATTGTTGCTTGCTTGGATGCTCCTTTGTCATCTTCTTTTGATATCTTGAACTCTGCAGCTGGAGCTATGGATCGAACAAGGATACGTGTCCAGTGAGAGACAAGGGTGGCTAGGGTGGTTTGCTGTCCTCTGGTGGATTTGCTAGCTATTTCCGACGCCCTCGGATTCAACCTCCAGTTGGGAGGCCCATTGCTCCTTGCCTGATGGCACGTTTTTGGCCGGAGATGGTGGAAATGCATCTCTGGGGAGGTCGTCGATTGATCCAGGGTCCTTTGTCTTGCTTGATTTTTCTTTTGCAGACTATAATGTAAATTAGGAGGGCATGTTTGCATTTCTGTTGTTCTTTCAGGTCTTTTGTGCAAGAGTTGTAAAACTTATGTTATAATTAGGCCAACCTTGGGACACTTTAATCCATTCCCCTTGTTAAAAAAGAGTTACACAGATTGCATACCCACCGCATGACTCTATGCACAGATTCTCCTTATGTGAGGGCAAAATACAAAGACGTTCCTTCATCACAAAGAAAATAGAATGAAGTTTCCGGCGAAATTGCATGTGCTGGTCAAAGTCCTATAATTCTTTCCAAACATCCATTTGAAAAAGGGATCCAACCCAAACATGTGCTTATTGACTTTGACAGCAAACAAGTTTCCTTTGCACAGGAGCAAACTGAAAAGAAAAATCAAAAGACCCATTAGGTCCATGCACAGTGCGTTAACTTTGGCGAAATTTAATTACAGGACGCATGCATTTGCATAAAACATACTTGGCTGCTAATTGGAGACCACGCCGTTGTTGCCAGCGAGCATCATGTACTTGTCGCGGCGACGAAACCCGGTGCATTCAAAACCGAGCGCCTCACCGAGCCGATGTTGGATCCAGTTTGCCACTTCAACACCGATCCTTCCCCCGGCGCACGTCTGATCCCGTGGTACAGGGCCCAGGAACTCCACCCGGTATGAGGGGGCTGGGTTGGCCAAGAACGCTATGGAGTCGAGCCACTTGTGTCCGCTCGTTGTTGTGCCATACAATAAAGTCACTTGCGCATCCATCGCCACGGGCACCATGTCGTCGGCCAACTCAGCGAAAAGCGGGCTGAAGCGCAACAGGTAAGGCTCGCGACAGGTCGTGCCCTCGGGGCAGACCGCGAGGTCCCCTTGCTCTAGTAGTTGAGATATGGTTTGGGCATCGCGGTCGCGGTCACGGGTCAGCCGCACTGTTCTTATGGGTGCCAAGATCTCCGAGAGACGGCTTAGACTATATGTTACAGTCGACACGGGCTTCTGTAGTGCCACGGTGAGCATGACTGGGTCGAGCAACGTCCGGTGTGTGCACACAAACAAGACTCCCCTGGGCTTGGCGCCATCCCCTGCGGAGCGACACCCAGAGGTGCGGAAACGGACTCCAAAGAACGCGCTAGCTGCAAAGCTGATCTTGTAGGGCAAGATGATGCCGATGGAGATGCGGATGACGGAGAGGACGAGCCCGAGTGGCAGAAATAGGAAGAATGCAAGCATGGCCGATGAGGTAGGGAAGAAGGCGAGGCGGCCGTCATGGAAGATGAGAGGCCTCGGGTACCTCTGGCGTGGCAGCTGGGCAGTCTTGGCGTACTCCGTGCTCACGACATGAAGTTCCTTCAATAATTATTTCAAAATTAGATCCATAAGCCAATTATAACGACACACTAGTACTGACTTGAAAAGCAAAAAAGACATTTAAATGATCCCTAATGTTGTCTGCAAACTATGAGCCTTAACTAATAAAAACCATAATTCTTCGCAACTTATATTTTCTCAATTTCACATATAAGTGATGTTTCATATCGATTCCGCAAAAAAAAGTGATGTTTCATATATAGACGTCAGTTTATAAGACGTAACTTTAACCAACTGGAATTTTCTAATCCTTGGATCATATGACCATCGTGTAGCGAGCTTCATGTAGCAACTTAATAAAAAATCATATATAAGTTCCAAAATATTGCAAAATATATATATGCACGCATACTCGTAAGTAAACACATATACATGCATTTCGCAAATAAATATAATAAGTTACAAGTTTTGAGTAAAAAATAAGTTCGTGCACACCGAGCTATAATAAAACTGTCCAACAAAGAGAAACCAGTGGATCCATCAATTATGATCTCAGTTGTCTGTGCTTTAAAGTCTAACTATAATATCTACTCTCGTGTTTTTTCTAATCAGTACGATCTAGCATTTCGATCCATCCATGCCCTATCTACACACCGTACCATGCGAAATCAAGTCTAGCTGTAACTTAACTTTTAAAAATTATTTGACACAATTCTAACACATATACATATGATCTACCTTTGTACACCCTTTATTATCAATCTTTCCACACATGATGTTTTGCTAATAAATTGTTTTAATAGAGCTTGGATTTGTTAAATTTAGTTGTGGGTTGTGTCGCTGGAAATACATGTTGGCTCTCAAGTCTTGTCCCCCCTTTAAGAGTTTGATGTTCACAAAGTCATCCTGGAGTCCGACTCTCAAGCCTCAAGGTGTGGTGCGCAAGGTTTCAATTCAACAAAAACATCTCTTGGCGAATGGTATGGTTGTGTAAGAGGTGAAGGAACTGTTAGAATATTTTTAGGAGTTCATGGTTAGTTTTGTGCGACATTCGGATAATAATGTCGCCCATAGTTTTGCTAAGGAAGGCTGCTCGAATAAAAGAGGTCATCTCGAAGTGTATCGCAATCTAATTATATAAAGGAAGCAAATCCAAGAACAAGGAAACAGCGTTGGCCAGACCATGGCCTGCTCCTGCTGCGGGATGGGTTGCCCTTTCGGTTAACGGTTCGTTCTCCTCAGACGGGACCACGGGTTCAGGGCTGGTCCTCAGGAATCTGGATGGAAGCTTGATCATTGCTGCTTATCGACACCTCTTTTTCTGCAACAATGCCCTTGAAGTGGAACTACATGCAATTAGGGAGGGTCTAGTGCTAGCTTTGGAGCGATCAGACCTTCCCGTGGTAATCCAATCTGACTCTTCGACGACACTTTCTTCATTCGCCTCAGATATTCTTGATCGATCAACTTATGGTCATTTAGTCACGGAGATTAAGAATAGGGTGTAGCAGATCGCCTGGCGACCATGGGAGAGTAGGGTGTAGCACGGCTTGTTGGCTACAGAATTTCCCCATCATGTATCGGTGAGCTTTTGCTAGCTGACTATAACTCTGCATCTATAGAATAAAACACTTTTACCCCCGCAAAAAGAAAATTCCAACTAAAATATCATTTGGGGATCTGCGCCGTCCTTTATTTATTTTATGTAGGAGTCATCCTATACACGCTAAACACACAATGCTGCACAGACGATTTGCAGAGACGACACTGAAGATCACGCCATCCCATGCACCCGAGCAGCCAGGACTGCTCCACCGTTTGATATGAGCGTGGGCTGCATGTCGTGAGTATTCTTTTGTAACATGAGATTCTGTTCTAACATGTACTATACACATGAGTGGGACTGGATGCATACATAGCATTATTTCTTTGCAAAAGCAAGTGTATTCAATAAATGTTACCTTAAGTACGAACAGTGATGAGCCTATGCGCGGTCCCGATCCCTGGTGCGTCTACTGGTAGGTTCCAAACTTCCCCGTCCCTATTCCCTTAAATAAATAGTTGTGGGTTGCGAATATGCTTAACACCAAACGAGCATGCACCTTCAATATGCCTGGCATTATCATTAGTAAGCTTCATTATGTACTCCCTCTGTTCCAAAATGGGTGACTCAACTTTGTACTAATTTTAGTATAAAGTTGGTTTATCTATTTTGGAACGGAGGGATATACTATGATGTTTCATAGTGGAGTAGTTCTGACCTGTGGCTACACATGGTCACGTGGTACAATAACCACACTCAATTCCCTCCAATTATAATAACATCCACCATCCTACCCAAGGCGTCTCGGGGGTGGTCTTCTTAACCTAGCGCAGCCACCCCAACCCTCACCCTCCGGCCACGCCATCATCAGAGGATGTGGCCGGGTTAAGCTTGTGCGGCTGACTGCGGTGTGGCTCTCTCTCTTACGGTGGTCCCTCGGTCCGTAGGGCAGCAGCACAAGGTGGCCTGGCAACGTGCGTCAGGCCATCGAAGGCTGGCGGAGGTGCTCCGAATCAACAGGAGTAGCGCGTGCGGTGCCTCCAGGAGCCAGGTGTCGGGCAGTTGTGCAAGAGGGCTTTGCCGGTGCAGGACGGTGGATCTGCTCCACCTTGGCCGGATACAAGACGACAATTGTTGGTGGTGGGCTGCGTCGGGTGTGCAGGCCTCATGGCCCAGATCTGGTGGCGTTGCATCGACCATTGCGCTGCGATCAAGTTGCGCACATCGGATCCAACAGTTTGTGGTGTTGCGCCGGACTGAGATCTATGGACGGTGTCTTGAGGCAGGGGGCATGGATATGCTATGTGTGTATCTGTTCGGATCACGAAAAGTGGTGTGAACGTCACATGATGACTTCAATTAGATGGTGCTTCTCAAAGACCAATCTCGAGCTATATGGTGAAAACCCGAGGTCTGACTCTTATTGGTTACATTCGGCAATGACGATGTTTCTTGTGTCGATATCTTGTTGGATGCGTTGTTCGGATTTGCTCGGCCTTGTTTCTTCAGGGTGAAGACTCATGATCTGGCATTTGATAGTTTGATCCGGCGACAACGCGGCTTGTGCGTTGGTTCCTTCCTGAAGGTGTTTCCTTTGTAGAATCCTTCTTGTTCTATTGGTGATGTCAAGACATGTTGGTCCGGATATGGTTGCTCCTATAGATTATTGATAATGTTTGATCACTTGGGAGTTCTTTTTCCTTTTTATTCCACCAGGTATCCGGTATTGTTTGATTTTATTAGTTGCGTGCGTGTGTGTGTGTGTGTGTGTGCATCCTAACTATCCAGATAACAAATATGTGGCCATTGCTTTTGTATCCTGTTGATGCTTTATTTTAAGTTAATAAAATCCATCCTTTGTTGAAAACAAATTATAATGCAGACTGTTGAGAACTTAATTATGTCATTTTCCAACTGTAGCCCGAGCATGATAGTGATGTAATACAGCCAAGTATCTTTCGGCTTTACACCAAATGTTTCCCCTTAAACGATGATTTCACAATGCAAGTGTGCAAGTTAGGCATGTGTTTTAAATTAGATCTTTAAGTTGATTAATTTGACAAATGAAACACATGAAATGTGCCACAAAAAAAAATATGGTAAGAAACTTCGTATATATTTTGCTAGTCAAGTAGACAGGCTAAAAACTTGTGTCCGACTTATATTCCCATCTGCAGCGAGTGCTAATAGAGGAACGGAAATCTATAGAAAGCACGCTAGTTTTTAAAAGAAAAACTATAGAAAGCACACACGTACGTACGGACCTTGCAGTAGGGGATGAAGAGGTGGTTCAGTGGGTTGGAGGTCCCGACGACGGCAACGTCGGCCATGGCACCGTCAGCTCCGAGCACCTCCTTCAGGGCCTTCTGCCTCATGCCCGGCCCTGGCCTGCACAGTAGCCCGGTGAAGTAGCATCCGTTCCTAATTTTAAACATCTGAAGTTCACGTCCCACCACCACGTCCGCGGACATGTACTCCTTCAGGAACCACTCCGCCATGACCCTCGGCGCGCTCGTCACGGCCACCTTCCTTCCAGCCGGCAGCCACAGTTGGTCGTACACGTGCGCGTTGAGCCTCTCCATGTAGAACTTGGGCAAGACGGCCCGGGCGACGAGGTCGGTGTCCCGTGGCCTGAGCCCGACGAAGGTGACGAACGCCATGACCTGGACGCCGGCGTCCGTGTGCTCTCCCAGGATCCATACGAGGGGGAAGCAGCAGAGCAGGAGCAGCGCCCGGATCAGGCCACCACCCTCGCAGGCCATGAGCATGAAGTAAGGGAAGAGGGCGGTGGACCTCAGGAGCCCGCCGTCGAAGTCGCACACTACCGTCCTATCGCCGGCGGATGGGATAGTGCACCTGGAGGCGGCAGCGGTGGATGGCTTGGTGGCGCAGGAGTTACGGTAGTTCCGGACGCCATTGCTGCCGAGCTTCCTGGCGGCGCGGTACAAGTTGATGACCCAATTAGTGGCTATCTTGGGTAGAACGGCGTGGAAGACCATCTCCTACTTCGGTGCTTCCTCGGACGTGTGTCCCAAAACGGTACTTGTGCAAGCTTCAATAGGTACCCGCCAACCTATGCTCCTGCCAGAAGCTCAGTTTTCTACCACAAATGGTGAAGTGTTTGTGGCATAGAAACAGAGACAATGAAGAAGGGTCTCAGTCGCACTGCGGGAGGCGGGTGCGTTTTGTAGAGAAAATCATCGGGAATGGATGGATATATATGGGGTGGGGAGCGTGCGAGGAAAGGGACTACACAAAAGAAATTAAAGGGGGTGGGTGGGAGAAGCCAGGGAATGGTCCTGAAAGTGTGAAACGACGGGGCTAGTAGATGGGAGAATCCAAATAACACTACAAACTCTGCCGAAAAATGATTTCCCCCGTTTTGTACTACAAATCAACCAACCGATACATCCAAAGATAGGTGTTGGGGCGGACGCAGTACAATCACACCCAAAAGAAACGAAAGAGAAACAACAAGAGAACAAAATGCTGACAACGGGGGATCGACGGAAACGAAGAAGCTTCACGACCACTGCACCCGCCGAAGATCTTCCACCACACTCCAAGGCTCCGGAGCACCGGTACCAATCAACACCTCCAAGAAGGACATCGACGATGACGATGCTGCTGCCAAAGGTTTCCCCCGGTACGTGACGAGGCGAGAGGAAGGGTCGCCCCCGACGCCCTCCTGGAAGGTCCGGCGGCACCCACCGGCGTCGCCGCGTTGGTGTCGGACAGGCCGACAGGGGTTTCCCCCGATCCCAACCTTCACCTCGGATGCTCCAGAGCCTGCCACCAAACCGACCACCATCTTGCGCCACCATGGTCATGAAGCCTCCACGCCGTCTCACCACGACACCAAGAAGTGAGGCCTAGACAACGGGGAATAGGAGCCGGGACTAGGGGCCGCAGCACCGTCGGCACGCGGGAGGGCACAACCTTCACCGTCAACGACGGTAGCCGACCGGACACAATAGCAGGAGCATACCAGGGCCGTGGGCCCACAGGCCTGGCCGGGATCTCCATGCCCGTAAAGCTCCCGCCATCGCGCTGCAGCAGGCACGCCGTCGGCATCGCCGCCCCCCGTCCGAGCTGCTCCTCCTCCGCACCACACAGACGACGACGAAGCCACGTCGGGGGCCGGCCCGCTGCCGGCCAACCTGCGCCACCACGCCGTCTCGCCGCCAAGGAGCCGCACCACTACCTACAAACTCTTGATCGATGGCTGTAACTCACTGAACAAATGGGATTAGGGCTGGACATGAGGCAAGCCGAGCCGAGTTTGATCCGAGCTAGGCTTTGGCTCGCCCGTCAGTGAGCTGGTTCAGCTCGGCTCGGTTGGTCGAACCAGCCTTATTCTAGTGGCTCGATTCGTCTTGCCTCTTGCTCGGTCCAGCCCGAGCGAGCGGCTCGTGTGAGTGAGTGCCGGTGTGTATGTTGAGTGTGCATGGGACCGCTTGTGCCGGTGTGTATGTTGAGTATGCACGCTGCCGGCCAAAGATGGCGAAGTGTGGCCGCTTGTGTGTGTGCAAAGTCTTCTCCGCATGGCCGGCTGCCGGGGTTATTGTCAGGAGAGGAGGACATGGACTGGAGGTCATACCTGCTTTTGCCGGGGACAGTGGCATGCTTGACGAGGAAGCGGGAGCGACGAACAGGCGGCGTCCAGTGCAGCTGCGAACAGGCACGCACCCTGTCGGTGTCGACGGCGAGGAGGACAGAGTCAGGTGGTGGCTGTTGAAATATATTGCCCACCTCCCTCCATCAGTTTGGACTTTTTGATGAGTTGGCTGGTGCATGAATTCAATATGGTATCCGAGACAAGAGGTATTGAGTTCAAGACTCTGCCAACGCAGTATTAAATAAAATGATTCCGCGTGCGGCCTATATCGATCCCATGTCTATGGACTAAAATAGCCTAGACGTGAGGGGGAGTGTTGAAATGTATTGCCCGCCTACCTCCCATCAGTTCAGACTTTTGGATGAGTTGACTGGTACATGAATTCAATATGGTGTCCGAGCCAATAGGTCTTGGATTCAAAACCCTGCCAACGCAGCATTAAATAAAACGATTCTGCGGCCTACTTCAATCCCACATCTAATGACTAAAACATCCTAGACATGAGGGGGAGTGTTAAAATATATTTCCCACCTTCCTCCATCAATTCAGACTTTTAGATGAGTTGGCTGAAGCATGAATTCAGTAGTTGCCACTGGCTGGACAGCGGCGTCGACTGCATTCGCTCGCTAGGGGTGGCACATGCGAATCGGGGTGCTTTGTAGCGGGCTTGGGCTGCTCATGTAGCTTCTATGTCTAGACAATGGGCTGACAATTATCTAAAGAAACTTAATTGGGCTGCGAAACAAGCCACCAAGCTGGATCGAGCGGGAACAGGCTTGGCTCAGTCGTCAAACGGGCCAAAATTTGCTAGCTCGGCTTGGCCTATTTTCTAGTTGGGCCGAGCTGGAGCGAGTTTCGTGCCGAGCCGAAAAGCTCGTTCGAGCGTCGAGTCCTAACTGGGATGCGTGGCTGATATTTTGTGTCGTGCATGAATCGGTTGCAAAAATATCGTCCATGTAGCTGTAAAAACGTATGTGCAAAAACCAAGGTTTCTCCTATATGCAAAATATTCAAGAAAACATGAGGCAAAATGGAGGCATGACAGCTCACACGGCCTTCCCAAGCTCTCCTCTTGTCCTTCATCACCTACCTCTACCCCCTTTATCACGGCTTCCATATCTTAGTGGGTCCACTACCTCTGATAACCAAGATCGTTACAACTTCATTGGCTCGCACACCCTCTGCCATGAAAGCCTCCTTGGATTGTTGCTAGTGTTCAGAGCCCCTGACATCTTCTCCTCAAGACAACATCCATAGTTTTAATATCAATCAAGTTGGACGAGTACGGAAGGCATGGTGGGTTTTTTGAACTCCAATGTAGGTACACCTCCTTTCATGAACCGTCGTTTGGGTATAGAGTTGTTCGGATCTGTTCATGCTTAGGATTTCTTTACAAAGGTGAACAATCATCATGGACAGATAACAATTTGAATCAACAAGGGCTGATGCAATGTAATAATTCGACATAATCAATTTGGTTTGCGAGTAATAACTAATAAATGCAAAGGGTTGCAAATCTCCTCATTTATTTTGTTCCTTGAATACATGGTCCATTTTCGGTGCAAAATTAAGTCATATATCAAACTAGACGATGCCCCACACGATTGCTGTGGGATTCTTGCTAAAAATGAAGTGCTAAATAAACTAAGACGATGTAAGAGTATTTTGCATGACTAAGTTTATAAAAAAATGTATGCATGAGTTGATGAGGTGGCATGCTTTGCATGAATTAATTAATGCAAAAAAGTAACTTATGACTATATGCATGACTGCATTGTTGCATGTGTTACAACTATTTAAGAATAGAAGATATATGAGGCGCGATGATCAATTCTAATTGACCGGCCACACTCATCCCTCTCTAGGAGAAAAGATAACGTGCGGTATGAGCACCCACCACCCAATGCTCTTACTAGGTGCTACCGCCTCTTCGACTTCAGACTTGAAAATTTCCATGAAGGGACCTAGGCTGGATCGCACAGGAAGCGGTCCGGAACCCTATTCCTCCCACTTACAACTATACAGAGAACAAGAAAACCATTCGCGAGGTAAGAGACCAAAATTCTTCCTCCAAAACACGGTAGCCACCGTCACCATTCCCATCTACAGTACTTCCTCCGTCTAGGTGAGTAAATCATCTTAGGTTGTGCACCGTGACCAAGAAGGAGAGAAAAACGAGAGACATTAATGTTTATTTGCTAATTAATAGCATTACAAGCAATGAACTAACCACTGCATGTCGTATTTGGTAATCTCAAGTCATTAAAGGCATGCACACCCCTTGTCTCTTATTGGTTGATATGTGAAGAAACAAGAAACGAGGTAGAAGTGCGCCTTAGTATTTTGGGTTTATTTGGTTTTCGTAAGATGACTTACACACCTAGACGGAGGGAGTAGTGGTCATCTCCATATCCGCTATCTCCACCATCACATCGCAATCAATGGCATTGTAAGACTTACAATCATTCATCTTAATGTACTTTTCCCTATAATGTCTTTTGCTTGTGATTGGGATACACTTCTCACCAGACGTCTGATGAGAAGGATTTCTTAGACCAGTCCTCAGCCTTCGATTTGTCTTTCATCCAACGGCCGAGATAACCAATGAAAAGCATGCGTTAGATTTTTCTAAAATGCCCTTTATTCATCACATTTGAGTAGTCCCCTCGGGCTAAGAGCAAAGGCCTAGCCTCATAATCACATATACGTGCATCAAGGGGCTATCAGTTTACTTTGAGTTAATGTAATTTCTGTGTGATGTGCAATGATTTTTTTCTCTTGTCTCTACCCTGATCCTAGGACTTGCAAGTACCCGAGACACCATGATATGAACAAGGAGAGGTAAAAGTGAATATAGGAGTGGAAGTCTATGCCGAACGACAGTGACGATAAATTTAGTATGGTAGCTGGAATTAAGTCTTTAGGGGTAGATAAGGTGCAGTCGTCAAACGCTCAACCCATTGCTCCGGTTATGCTTAATATTCGAGGTAACCCTGTTAGTCTGATAAAGCCCTGGTTGGACAATAGAACCTCGATGCAGCAGCAGTCGACCGTGGGGTTATTTGGCGGCATCTCCGTATATGTAACGTTGTTACCAATGCCATGTTTTTTTATCTAGATAGTATCCCAACAACAACAACAACAACAACAACAACAACAACAACAACAACAACAACAACAACAACAACAACAACAACAACGGCAGCAACGAGAGCAACAGCAGCAACGGCAACAACAACATCAACTACATCAACCGCAACAACA